CTTTCTTTCTTTCTTTCTTTCTTTCTTTCTTTCTTTCTTTCACATTTATTTTTGAGACAGAGACAGAGTTCGAGCAGGGGAGGGGTAGAGAGAGAGAGAGAGGGAGACACAGAATCCAAAGCAGGCTCCAGGCTCTGAGCTGTCAGCACAGAGCCTGACCTGGGGCTCAAACCCATGAACCGCAAGATGATGACCTGAGCTGAAGCTGGACGCTTAACCAACTGAGCCACCCAGGCACCCCACCAGTTCCTTTCTTTACTGTGGCAGATGCCGTTTGGTGGCTAATCCCACAGATACGCTGCTCTCCCCTTCTATCCTACCTGACTCTCCTGGAGCCACTTTGCCCACAGGAGTGGCATGGGACACAATCCTGATCCAACAGAAATAAGGAGTAGCTTCTCTTGATAAATGGGACAGATCCTAGCTGCTATTAACCTGTCTCAACAAGGGATGTGATACTTGGAGCTGCAGCACCCTCGTGGGACCATGAGGGAAAGGTCAAGAGAAGGACAGAGATCTTGACCCGGATATCTTTAAGTCATTGAACTGGTGTTGCCATCTTTAGTCTTTTTTGTTACGCGAGGTAAACGAGACCAGCGTCTCCTGGCCAAGTGCTGTGTAAAATGCTGCAGAGAAAACTGTAACTGGCATACGTGTATCACTTCTGTTAAGCTTCATCGTTAGTCTGTGATACAGATGAGACACCGGAGTGCGTGGAGGCTAAGCAGCTTTCCTGGGCCACGTGAATAGAAGGTGACGAGCAGAGGCTTTGGGGTCATGACTGCTGAACTGAAAACCCCAGTGCTTTCCACAAAGTGATATTAGCCCTCGCTCGGTGCCTGTCAGAGCACATTCGTCGCTCCAACTTCTCATTTGGGGAAAAGCACGTGAAGAGGAATGTGGTACGTGTGCCCGCGAGGGTCATGGGACCTGGGTGCCTCCTTGTCCTGTGCCGAACCGTCTCCCTTCATTTCAGAGAACACATTCCATCTCTTTCTGGTTTAATAGTGGGCAGAAGGTAAGAAGCTGAGTGTCTTCGACAGCCTGGGGACTAGGCCGTACTGCGTGAGATGCTCATCAACGCCACTCTCCAAAACAATGGAAAAATTCAAATTACAATTCAGGCAATTCAGAGACAGCTGGGAGGGGGTGGCTTATGACAACTCAGCTACATTTACTCAGACCAAAACCAAATGGAAAACCATGAGGAAGGTTCTGAGGAAATGACTGCAGTCATGTGAAACGTGAAACGTGCTTTTGAGGACTTAACTCGAATGATCCATCTGCTTGTGTGGGCTGAGCTTCAGGGGGGTTGCCTTTGCCTGTGAGCCATGGGGGCTGCCCCTGGGCTGAGACGGGGAGGGGCTCAATAACCACCCGGTCCTGAGCACAGAGGACGTCCTCCCCACACGGGATGGGGCCCCGGAGGCCTCAGCCTGGTCTGGGATCGGAGAGAGGGCTGGCCTGCAGAGACACGGCGGGGTGAGATTCCCTGCTTCTCTGAGGCAGCTCCTCCTGCCCCATTTGTGAAATGGTGTCATAACACTGATCTCGCCGACCTCCCCGGCTGAGAAGAGAGAAGGTGAGGTAATGATAGTGAGAAGAATCGGAAGCCAACTCATTTTTAGACGGTGTGTGAAACACGAATAGAGCAAGCTGTCGTCACGGCTCCTGCTTCTACTGGGTTGAACGACACGAAATTGCCAGCATGCAGCTCTTTTCATAGAGAAAATGAGAATTTTGCATGGAAAAACTCATAAAATTTCTACTGAAAAGCACTGGACAGAATCACTGGGGTTCAGTTTTTTCTTTTATCAGGTGTAATAAGGGAGAGGCACATGCTGTTTCTACAGCCGGATGCCTTGGACAGATCTACGTGCAAGAGTATTCGAGACGTGTTTGATTTATTTATGCTCTACCTTGCTCCAGAAGGGCTTGAAGAACATGCAAAATCAGAGTTAGCACAAACAGGAATGGAAGAAGTACAGGCAAAAAGAGGGTAGAAGGAACCCACGGCCTGTCCTAGAGCTGGACGCCCAGTCCAGATGGAGGGGCTACCATCTCCGCCATCTCTAATATCTGTGAGACAGAGGCGGGTCAGAGAGGTGCAACTGCCCACGGTGCTAAGTTCAGACGGGAGGTCGTCCCGTGTCGGATGGTGTGGGAAGGGGGATGGGCAAGTCTTAACGTGGCAGGTGACCGTGTGAAAAGCTGCAGAGAAGACCCTGCCAGCAGAGCCCTACCGGGTCAGGTCAAGGTGGCCGACGACAAGGCTCCGTCCGTGGTCCGTCCTGGCGAGCTGCAGCAGCAGGGCCAGGCTCTGCTTCCGGAGGCCCAGAACGCGGGAGGTCAGCAGGGAGGGCAGCAGGCCGCCCATCTCGGGGCGCAGCAGCAGCAGGCGCTGGTTCTCCTCTGCAAGACGGGAGACGGGCATCTCAGGCACACGACAGCGGTCAAACCAGTCATTTGCCACCATCCCGACGGGCAAACCAGCTCTTCTGCCCTCATTTGAGAGGCAGAGTAATAAAGTGTAAGAGCCTGAGCTCTGGAGCCAGGCCGCCGGGTCCTGATGGCCAGGGAAACAATTGAGGCTGAGTCATCAACTCCCGCGTTCCTCAATTTCCTCATCAGAGAAATGGGGAAGACAGCCAACATGGCCGAGGTGTTAGGAGGGTTCAGTGAGTGAGTCGGTGATGGCGCTCGGAACAGGGCCTGGCACACACGTTCGGTCACAGGCTCCTTGGTGTGCGGGATTTGGGATGTGAGGAACGGGACAAGAATCAGCTTACCTGTGGCTATGTTTAGACAGTCAGTTTTCATATGGTGGCCAGAGGAAAACTGGGGTGTCATGTGAGGACATTGATTAATGGAGATGTAAGTGACTTCCAGAGTGCTGGCACGGATCTGCCCCCTTTCACCTGGTTCATTTTCTAGCCAGGTGCATGAATTTGAGAGGAAGCAGAGGGACAGGCTGGAGTGGAGACTTCGCCACGAAAGAGAACAGAGTTTGTGCAGTTTATATATTTTTTCTCATACTGGAAAAGCAGCTCATTGCAAACAATCCAAAAGCTGAAAATGTGGGTTCCCTCATCTTGGGACCCCTCCAGGTGACCTCACTCCTTAAAGGAGCTGTGCTCATCTCTCCTGTGAATAACATTAGAGAATGACCCATCCTATCCTGTAATTGGCTTCTGTCTCCCACTCGACAGTCTATCACGGACACCCGTCTCTGTCCTTAACTTTGTAAGCACCCCCTTGTCCTTTCTAAAGTCTTCTTTGTATTTACTGAGTTGGGTACCCCAAGATTTCATGGCTCTGATAGAGCGTTTACATCACAGGCTGTGTCTGACAATATTTCTTCTGATGTCAAAGAAAAATGTGACCCCCAAGGTTCACAGAAACCCAAGTAGGTGCGTGCTGAGGAAATCAGGGCTGCAGGGAGGGAGGGCTATCTCTGGTTTGCCCTGAGTAAATGCACGGCCACCAAGCCCTGCCTCTCTCACTCTCCTGTGGTGGGGGAATGTGAGATCACCCCCCACCCCCCAGGCAAGTGCAGGATCCTAAGGAGCGGCAAGGCACCTTGATAATGGTATTAGTCTGAGCATAATTCCCTTCAGGAAAGAGTCCCCCGGATTCTCTAGTCTTCTGCAACTTCCGATGATTCCCTGGCTCTACTAAATCAATGGAAAAAATCCTGTTTTCCCATATTCAGCGTGTCATGGTCTGCAAATTGCACCCACAAACTCTTCTGCTGGCTTCCCACAGAAGCCTTGCAAAAAGGAGACCCAGGCATCACCAGTCCCATTTTCATTGTTTTCTGTCCAAGGTCGGACCTTTCCCTATGGAAACACCACTTTTTTTTTTTTTTTTTTTCAACGTTTATTTATTTTTGGGACAGAGAGAGACAGAGCATGAACGGGGGAGGGGCAGAGAGAGAGGGAGACACAGAATCGGAAACAGGCTCCAGGCTCCGAGCCATCAGCCCAGAGCCTGACGCGGGGCTCGAACTCACGGACCGCGAGATCGTGACCTGGCTGAAGTTGGACGCTTAACGGACTGCGCCACCCAGGCGCCCCAAGAAACACCACTTTTTTAACATGAGGGAAACACTTAAAAATTTTTTTTACATTCACTACATTACAAAGGGGTAAGAGAGATTGTGCAGAAACTTCATGAACCCCAGAAGATGCTGATATGTAAAAAGTAAATAAATGTTAATATGGTAAATAAAAGCCCTGCAGCATTTTACTGTCTCATTATCACATGAATCAGTGTCACAAGATGCTAGCAGGGACAACCGAAAATCTCAGGATGCTGAAATGGGTACCATGGTCAGCCAAAAGGAACCGTAGTTTTAGGTGGACAGGAAAGGAACATCTCCGTCCCCACCCGAGGCACAAAGCCCAAGGGGTGCCCGTGGAGCAGGAGCTGAGGTCATGAGTCTGCAAAGGGCAGAGGGGATAAGACCTCTCAGTATGCTGACAGTGACTGTGTCCACCGTCAAGGCAGTAGTAAGGGTGGCAGAGACATGACTCTAACGCAGGCCTCGCCTCTGATCGACATGCTCTCTCTGGGGGCAGGTCTGGACATCAGCTCCCTCGGGACCGGCCAGGATCACGCCCGAGCGCCGTGCTCCCGCATCAACAGTACGCTAACAGTGATGAGCAGTGACCACCCTGGCTTACCATTCCCAGCGCACACTGCTTGCCAGAGTCTGAGGACGGACACACAGACCGTCTCTTCCACTGCATCTTTCCCTGCTGTGGAGAAGCACCTAGAACAGACAAAGGATGGCAATATTAAAACTGGAAAGCAGTACTGATCTTCTTTGTAGTTGGTTTTATTTCACCTCCAGACTTCTCCAATGTGGGTTTAAGAAAGTCATGTTATAGCCCAGAGCCGCGGTCACCAGGACTGGAGGGCAAAGAGCTTCAGGACAGTCATGCAGGCCGAGGAGTTGGGGCTGCACAGAGGGAGGCTGGTGAGCCGCGGCCATGGGCGATGGCTGCACGGTGACCGGTGAACTGTAGTGGGCCAGCAGGCCACTGAGGGTCCATGGGCTTCCTCACACATGCAAATGTGTGCCAGTGAGTCTAGCCCACAGCAGTGTCCTCCTTAGCCTGGGGGACTGCACCCAAACCATCAAAATAGGAAATAAAATAAAAATAAAATAACATTTAGCAATCCACTTCCTTCCATATGGATCTCTTTTCAGATAAAAATTAGAAATGGGATCAGCCAGGACCAGGCTGATCTCACTTCTTGAGGCGATCAGCAAATTCCAAGAGAGGAGAACAAATAGCAATCTTGCAAACATTGGTGGGAAACCAGGAAAAGATGGTCACTTCTCAGGCTCTGCAGTGGCCTGGAGGGACCCGGGAAGTTTTGCAGACCCCTTCTCTCTGCGGTCATTGCTTGTGGTGTAACTCAAACCACCCGAGGCACAAGGCCCAAGGGGTGCCCGTGGAGCAGCACTGATCTCTCCCAGGGGCCCCCAACACTGACTAAATGGTCAGGCCACCCGGTGAAGCCACTGCCTGTGCGGGCAGGGCAGTTGTCCTTCCTTGCTCTACTGCTGGCTGACTTTACAAACACCCCTACCTTCTTATGACCTCATTCTCGCCGATGACACTGAATCCATTGTGTGTTCTGAATAAAGTCTGTTCTGGGCCTGGAACAAATTCATAAAAAACCAGGTCAGACTCCTGAACTGTCTGGCTGAGGTCTAGCGGACAGTGAGAAATCCAACATGGAATGTCAAGCTCACCAAATTAACGGTTTGGGTGGAAACAAATACCTTTCCTTTCTGAAACCTATGGCTGTCATCAGCCACTTGTTGCCCCAGTAGAAGGGACATCCTGTTCAGAGAAGGGCAGCCGAGCCTGCGTGGCCTCATGGGTTATCTGACAACTCGTCATTTTATGATCTTTGGAGAGTCTCCAGGAGCTGCTTAACCTCTGGGACGAACTAGCATATTCACCTCTCTTGAATATTTAGTTTGAAGCTCTGTCTAGGCTCTAGAGAACCTAAAGCCTCCAAGAAACTACTGCAGGGAGTATTTGAGTGTCTTCCATCACATGCTAAAGGGAGGTCAGAGATCCTGCCTCGTTGTACAAACGGCATCCTGTCACTGAGTGAAAAAGTGGCGTAAGCCCCGATGGCACCATTTACGAGAACTGGTGAAGGAGAACAGCACGGCTCTCGTTAGCAGGAGAGCTCGTGTTTGCTCTGAAACCACGTGTCCCAGGCAGCCATTAAACATAACGGGATGAACCTTAGAGATTATCCTACAGAATCGGGTCTTCCATTCCTCGACGTTTGGGAGATTTGTGAGGGCAGTCTACAGTGTTCGGGGTGTACGTGGGGTACGTGTGGGATATGCAGCAGGTGTGCAGGTATGTGTATGATGTGTGGAGGGGGGAGTATGTGTGGCGTGTGTGTATGTGATGTAAACAGATGCGGTGCGTGTGTGTGTTCTGTGCTTTATTGCGTGGAGGGTGTTCACTGCATATGTGCTGAGCACATGCATGCTCTGGGGGAGGATGGAGCTGGGGCGGGGGTATATTTCCTGCACGCCCTGTTTAGTCCCCACATCACAGTATGTCTTGAGTATCTGTGGAAGGAAGGGACACAGAGATTCTTTGCCTCATCAGGGCTGACCTCTCAACTGCCCCTTTACACCAACTATATCCACGAGGCCATACGCGTCTCCGGCTTACAATCCTTTATCATTTCAGTCAGGATTTCAATCCCTCCTGCATAGAACAAGGGGGTCTGATCAGGCTTGCAGAGAGTCTCCAGGACATTCTTGACTGTCACTGCCGTGTTCTTTCCCGAATCCAGCAATTCGTGGGCTTCCTTCTCTTGAAGATCTGCTTTCTCCCGGAGATTTACTTGATTGAGGTATTCTAGCAAAACAAGAAGGAAAACAAAAGGAAAGAAACCAAATAATACTCCAACAATCAACATCACCACGCAAAGAGCTGCGTTTTTGAGAATGGGAGGTTGAGAGCATGAAGCATTAAAATCATTCTTACCTGGTTTCAGGAAGGAACATTTTAGGAAGGGTGGACAGTCTATACCCAGAATCTTAAACCATCTTGGGGATTCAAGGACAACATTACTGCCTCGTCTAGAAGGTTTCTAAGGGGCAATGGTTGTAGAAAGGAGGAAGGCAAAGGTCTGAGTGGGAGAACAGAAGAAAGAGAAGGGGGTAGCCTGCTAACAGTGAGGGTTTGATGTGGCTTTGAGGCCAAGAGCAGAGAAGGAGTGGAAGGCACCTTAGGGCCAGAGCACAAAGCAAAAGCGGAATTCAAACTAAGGACACCAGCAGGAACATTCTCACCTTTCACTTGGGTCTGCAGCTGGGGGTTTATTTCTAAGATCTTCTGATAACACTCTCTAGACTGGAAAAAAAGAAACGCGACCTTGAAGAGTGGTCAGGGGTAAAGGTGATTATTAAGAAAGACACTGGGTACCACAAGGCTTGGCTTCATTATTTCCTCCCAGCCTCCTCTTGCTCCCAGAGTAGGAGGTAGGCATGGGGAACACAGCATGCGTCTGACATTTTGCTTAGGCTTCTCCGGTTCTGTGGGACAAGAGGTATTATTTCAGAGTTTATTTTTAAAAAGTGGTGTTGTCAGATACAGCCTGTGATGGAGAAATAGCTAGTCCTAAATTCTCATGGATTATGTCTGGTTGGAATAGGATAAATCATAAGGTAATTGCAAAATTTAGATATGATATTTGCACTGAGAGAGAACGGGAGGCTACTTGTCAGATATGCCCACAAGGAAGGAAATAAATGAAGCTAGACACTGTTGACAGAAACTTTTGGGAATAGGAAAAGAGAAGTACCTATTTATTTATGTATTTATTTATTTTTTAACGTTTATTTATTTTTGAGACAGAGAGAGACGGAGCACGAACGGGGGAGGGGCAGAGAGAGAGGGAGACACAGAATCGGAAGCAGGCTCCAGGCTCCGAGCCGTCAGCCCAGAGCCCGATGCGGGGCTCGAACTCACGGACCGCAAGATCGTGACCCGGGCCGAAGTCGGATGCTTAACCGACTGAGCCACCCAGGCGCCCTGAGAAGTACCTATTTAAATAAACAGGGCTGCAAAGACAGCCAGGAAGGGGTCCACTCACTGGCCATATAAGGGTCGCAAGAAAACTTGAGTGAGGGGCTCTCAGTGAAGAAATTTCTAGGAAGTTTCTGGAGAAAAGACAGATTGTAATTCGTGGGGCAGGTTACTGGGTTTAGAGCAGTACTGTCCTCAGGGTTATCAAGAACAGCCTAGTCATTGAGAAAAAAAGCTTAAAAAAAAAATGGTTCTGAGACATCTTGAAAGCTCAAGGCTCATCTAGAAGATTAGGATGAAGAAATGAACTGAAGAAAAAACATCACATTAAAACAGAGAATAGTGTTGCAGGACAGAAGTATACACATCAAACATGGTAACTGCTATAGACTGAGTGCTTGTGTCTCCCCAAAATTCATATGTTGAAACTGAACCCCCAATGTGATACACTCGGAGGTGGGGCCTTTGGGAGGTGATTAGGTCATCGGGGTGGAGCCCTCATGAATGACATTTGTGCCCTTATCAAAAGACCCCAGAGCACTCTCTTAACCCTTTTGGCTGTCTGTAAACTAGGAAGCAGGCCTCACCAGATACCAAATCTACTGGTATCTTGATTTAGACACTCCAGTCTTCAGAACTGTGAGAAATGAATGCTTGTTGTTTAAGCCTCCTGGTCCCTGGGAGTTCCTATATGGCAGCCCAAAAGGACTAGGACAGTGAAGCTGTGTCCAACTTCTTTTTAACCCTAGATCTAGTCTATCAGCAATGGCTCTTAGCTTCACTGTTGGTATATATCCAGATTCCCATCATTTCTCACCACCTCCCTCAACACCAACCTGATACAAGCCATCATTACATCTCACTTGGAAAGTCTGTTGCTTTAGCCTTCTAACTAGTTCTCTGTTCTTTTCTGACTAGGCCAAGATCTATTCTCAATGCAGCAGAGCGATCCTTTAAAGCATGAGTCACATCATTTCACTCCTTCCCTCAAAACCCTCCAATGGCTCCCACCTCACTCACAGTAAAAGCCAAAATCCTTCCAAAAGCCTGAAAGGCATAGGGAATTAGTCCCCTACCATACCCCCCTCACCTGCCTGACCTCATCTCCTATCACTCTTCTCTAGCTATTCTGCTAACTGGACCACTACCCTATTATGTATCCACATGGCTTGCTCACTTCACTCCCTCCCTTCCTTCAGAGAGGCCTTCCCTGACCACTCCATATAAAACCAATCTCACCTTCATTGCTTCCTGATTTTGTTTGCCCAATAACACTTATCACCATCCAACATACTACACATCTATTTATTTGGTTCCTGTCTCCCGGCCCCACCTATCCCAAGAATGTAAGTTCCATTTAGTCAAGGAGTTTGTCTTGTTCACTACTATATTCCTATTGTCTAGGACAGTACCAGAGACACAGAAAGCATGTATACATGTTGGCTAAGTGAATTAATTAACTCAATGAACGAGTGAATAGAATTTGGTGGAGAAGGGAGGATTAACATTTTGTTCTTCCACTTTTTTATTATTTGACCTTACTAGAATAAGCCTGTATTACTTTTAGGATTAAAATCCAACAAAGCAAAGAATTCTTAAAATGTACAATAGAAGTCAATTTCTTTTTTAAAAACATCTTCTAAGTGGAAAGACATCCCATGTTCATAGATCATAAAACTTATTATTGTTAAGATAGCAATACTCCCCAAATTGATCTACAGATTCAATGTAATCTCCATCAAAATTCCATCTGGCTTCTTTGCAGAAATTGATAAGCTGATCCTAAAATTTGTATGGTAATTCAAGGGACCTAGAATAACTAAACAAGCTTGAAAAGGCAGAGCAAAGTTAGAAGACTCAAACTTCCCAATTTCAAATTCTACTAAAGCTATAGGAATTAGGACAATATGGCATAGAGATAAGAACAGACATAGATCAATGAAATAAAATGGAGAGTTCAGAAATAAATCCATTCATTTATGATCAATTGATTTTTGACAAGGGTGCCAAAATCATTCAGTAGGAGACGGAATAGTCATTTTAACAAATGGGGCTGGGATAACTGGATATCCACATGCAAAATAATAAAATTAGGTCCCTTCCTCACACCATATCTAAAAATTAACTCAAAATCAGAGCTAAAGTCATAAAACAGAAGAAAACATGGAAGTAAATCTTGGATTAGGCAATGGTTTCTTATATAAGACATCAAAAGTATAAGCAATCAAAGGAAAAAATAAATAATTTAGACTCCCATCAAAATTAAAAATTTTTTGTGCTACAAAGGACAATCAAGAAAGTTAAAGGACAACACAAAAAATGAAAGAAAATATCTGAAAAATCATTTATCTGATAAGGAACTTGTATCCACAATATATAAGGTACTCTTTATTTAATATAAAAATACAAATAACCTAATAAAACATGGGCAAAGGATCTGGAGACATTTCTCCAAAGGAGATATACAAATGGCCAACAAGCATGTGAAAAGAGACGTAACGTCATTAGCTGTCAAGGAAATGCAGATCAAAACAACAACGAGTCATGTTTTACACCCACTGGGATGACTATAATCAAAAAGAGATAATGAGAAGTATTGCGCAGGATATAGAGAAATGGAAACCATGTCCTGCCGGTGGGCATGTAAGACGGTGCAGCCACTTTGGAAAACACTTTGGCAGTTCCTCCAAAGGTTAAACATAGAGTTATGTAACTGAGCAGTTCCACTCCTGGATAGAATGTACTCGACAGGACCATACACACATGCCCACACAAAAATTTGTATGTGGATGTTCATATAATGGTCCTAAGGGAAAATAACCCAAATGTTCATCAACTGATGAATGGATACATGAAATGTAGCCTATTGATACAATGGAATATTATTTAGCACTAAAAGGAATGAAGTCCTGATAGGTGCTACTACATGGGTGAACCTTGAAAACATCATGTTAAGTGAAAGAGGCCAGTCACAAAAGACTATCTCTTGCATAATTCTATTTATATGAAGAGCCTAGGCAAATGTATACAGACAGAAGTAGATTAGTGACTGCCGTGGGTTGAGGTTAGGGTGGGGGGAAGGAGAGTGGTACTAATGGCTAGAGTGCTTTTGGGGAGGTGACAAAAATGTTCTAAAGTTGAGTGTGGTGATGGTTGCACATCTCTGTGAATACATGAAAACCCACTGAACTGTATACCGTCCACAGATGAACTGTCTGGTATGTGAATTATATCTCAATAAAGCTGCTATTCACAACATATTATATCTTAGTCTGCCTATATATCCGCATGGTTACTTTTGAGTGAAGAGATTACAAGTGAGTTTTCTTTTCATTTGTTGGCTTATATTTTTCTCTCCAGAGATGCTCCTCCTGGGGCTGACGGAACACTGGTAAAAGATACTGCAGAAGGGATTCCCAGAGAAGGTGGGGATGCCACTCAACGTCCTTCCCAACTCAACACATGGTAAGATGTTCCTTGGAAAATACTGTAAAAGGCAGATTAATATCTAATCGGCTTGGAGGAACGTAGTCCTTCTCTGAGACAATCTGGAGCATCGCTCTGGGATCAAACAAGCCACTTCTACTCCTCTAAGAACTTACCACATTGTAGTTCTTCAGGGCCAGATGGGCCTTTCCCATATGGAAATATGCTTTTGTGCATTTTTCATCACACTGCATAAAAGAGAATGACTGATCAGATGTTTGAAGTCATTAGCCACTCCCCTCATTGCCTGGCTAATAGAGTTAAGGCAGTCCTTCGGTTCTCAGCACAGCTACCACGGTTGGCAATTAAAACTTTTCTGTGCATTTGTGACCAAACTAATTGGTGCATGCTGCATGTACAAGTAAGCTCTCCATCAAATTAATTAATGATACTTGCCAGTTTTCATTTCCACGTAATGAGACTCAATCAGGAGACAAACCAGAAACCCTTAGTTTAGGAGAGCTCTCAACCTTGCCTAAACATTAGAATCGCCTGGGATGCTAATCAAAATCTGGAAGGCAAGGCTGAAGCCCATACCAATTAAATTATACTCCAGGGTAGGGCTCAGGCATCAACAGTTTTTTTAAGCTCTCTAGGTGCTGTAAACATGCAGCCAAGCTTAAGGATCACTGGTTTAACAGAAGAGAGAGACACCAACCCTGGGTCGACAGCTGAGGTTATGGTTACGTCTTAGCGAGTCTGCCAATAAATCACACCACACATCCTGGGAACTTCTATTCTTATCACTTAAGATCAGGAGGGATGCCTCCTTCAAAAGGCAGGATCAGGATCAAAACTTACGGGAGACCATGGCATTTGCACAGGGGCCCTACACCTGCCTGCCCCTAATGATTACAACTTCAGAGGGACTGATTGGGCACAAAGACGTCAACTGTAACTTCTAGCATCCAGTTAATCAAACCCTTTCCCATGCGAGGCATTGTGTCAGGGATGCCCTCCAAGGGTCTAGATTTAAAGAGGTGATGAGTGCCAGCTCAGGAGTCTAGAAAGTCCTGGGTGAACGCCTGGCCCGCCTCTCACCAGAAGCGGGGTGTTGGCCAGGCCACCTAACTTCTGTGAGGCTCATTCTCCTCACGTGGAAAGTGAAGACAGTGATAGTGTCTCGCTCGCAGGTTGTCACGGGGAGGAAACGCACGTGGCGCTCAGTGCAGCACCAGGTGGTACGGCATCAGCAGCTGTTGCCACAACGGTTGCCACAGCAGCTGCTGTCCATTTCAGGGCAGAAGGGACTTTGAAGAAAAGCTAAGTGGTCATAGAAGAGGTAACACGGTCATATTTGGAGAGGGCTTTATAGCTGATTTTCACGAACATCATTTAATGACGCGCTGAGTGAGTGGCAGTGGTAAGTAATAGTGCATTATTGTTCAGTCCTTACCGTGCGGCTCATAGGACTTGTCTCGTATAATCCTTGTAACAACTCTACGAAGTTGATGCAGTTCTTATCCCCATTTTACAGATGAGGAAACTAGGGGGTGGAGAGGTTCAAGGTCACATAGATACTAAGTGGATGAGCTGGGATTTAAAATCTGGCCATCTGACTCTGCCCCAAAGGCTTAAAAGGACACCAAATCACCTTGAGAAAAGTGCCCCAGCAGGTGAGGAGCAGGAAGCCCACTCCAAAGAGGCCTGGTCTAACAAAGAGTGTGCGAGGAGGGATCTGAGGTGGGTATCAAAGGATGTGGAGAGGTGAAGAGAGAAGGAGGGAGGGAGAAAGGGCTGAGCAAGGTCAGGAGGTGGGAGGGGGCAGGGAGCTTCCATCCAGGACAAAGGGCAGGGGCAGGGCAGGGAGGGTGTGGCTGGAAGGGGTGATCGAGCAGTGGGGGCATACAGGATAGTCTAGAGGTGGCGCACAGAACTGACCAGAGGCGGGAAAGGCAGGGGCCAAGTGAGGAAACCAAGACAGTCATGCAGAATGAGGGGCCGTATCTGCCCTGGTGGAGCAGCAGAGAGAGTGCAGACGCCAGAGCTCTGTCACAGACAGATGACAAAGAAGAAGAGGATGTCAAGTAAGGAGTTTGGGGTTCAGATGTCTGGAAGGCAGCACACGCCCTTAACAGAAGGGGAAGTCAGGGCTGGTAGTGAGGAAGGCTGGGGGAAGATGATGAGTTTGTTCCTAGACGCATCATCTTTCCAGTGATGCGAAGACAATCACGGAGACCTATGCCCTGCGGTCCTCGGAGGTGGAGATGGGGAACAAGGTCTCCGGGCCGGCTGGACCCAGGAGAGACAAGAGCTTTGAGGGGGAAGCTGCAGAGAGAGGGCAGGGAGCCCAGGAGTGAAGCCTGGAGAATCCACAAAGGAAGAGGTCGAGGGGGCAGGAAAGGAATGGTGAGGGGGAAAGAAAGTGCCAGTGCCGCAGCCCGTGAAAGCCAAATGTTCACTGTCCCTTGGCTGCAGGGTTACAGCAGGGTGCAAAATAAACCCAGAGCCTCAGAGCCCTGTCCTTGCCACCCTGTGTGTCTCTGTGTGTCACAGAGATGGGGCATGGTCATGACTCTGCCCGCCCTGGCTGCTAACGGAAGTCCTCTCTGATGGGTCCTTCTCCTCTGATCATGTGTCAATATTCACCAGGATATTTTCAGGTGAGTCCCAGATCCCCTTAAAAGGAGTCCTGTTTTGGGACACGTGGGTGGCTCAGCCAGTTAAGCGTCCGACTTGGGCTCACGTCATGATCTCACGGTCCCTGGGTTCGAGCCCCCATATCGGGCTCTGCTGACAGCTCAGAGCCTGGAACCTGCTTTGGATTCTGTGTCTCCCTCTCTCTCTGCCCGTCTCCTGTTCACACACTCCCTCTCTCTGTCAAAAATAAACATTAAAAAAGATTTTAAAAAAAGGAGTCCAGTTTTCAGAGGATGATGGATTTTATCGTGCAGAAAGTATTCCACCAAGAAAGAAATGACTCTGACTGGAACCAGCTTCACTGCCTCATCTTCCCTGATGAGGAACAGGAGTCTTGAAATATCCTCATGTGAGCTTGTCTCTACCAATTCAAAAGTGTCAAAAATCTTAAATGAGCATGAAAGTTACTAACACCATTAATAATGGGATGGCAATGACATGCGTTATTGAGATACTACTTTTAAAGAGAGAAACTTTTAACTCACCACTTTGACACAGAACGGACACTGTTAGTTTTTAGAGCTCCTCATACATTTTCCCCCAGCCCTCCAAGTGTTTACACAGCCTCTTCAACTGGGAGCCTCGCTGGGCATTTCACAAGACTGGCTGCTGAATGTCAGAGTTTTTTAAGGTCAGCTTTGCTGGGCCCGCTTTGCCTTGGTTTCACCCTTAATTACATTGTGCTTCATTTAACATTTGGGAACCGGCCAGCATGTTACCCTGAATCAACATGCTGATGGTGTCACTACCTCTTTGGTCCCTTTCAGATCAGAACAGATACTCCTGGGAGCCCCACTGGGAGATCTTGCTTCTCCCACAGAAGGGAGCAAGATCCACACCCAGGGACTGTAGGGTTTCTCAGGTCCAGTAGAGAAGCTGTACGAAGTACGGGATTCAGACACTGGCTTACAGTGAGACTAACATCAGCTATGCGGTTCGGCACAGGTTACTTCATTCACCTTCAAGGCTTGGTTTCCTTGCCAGAAAAATAAGGATGACGGTGGTATTGAACACAAAAGAAGAGAAGGTTGTGAGGCTCACGGCCAGCACGCCACAAACGGGGGCTTTAATACTTGATCTTAGCCAAGAGGCCGAGAAGCAATAAACGGGGGCTTTTGCTGTGATTATTGGAATAATTGAGGAAAACATCCTTGCCTCTCTCTTCTCTTATGGAATGGGGGCAGAAAAGAAATTATGGTCACATAAAGTGACAAGACAGGCTGGGGACCTAGGCTGGTCCTAAGCTGTGAAGAACCTGAGGTCATCAGCTCTGGGCAGCTCTTGTAACCTCAAGACCATAACGGTGCAATGGGACAGGATTTGCCAATACGCCGGATCTTCTAAGGGAAAGGGGAATCATGCACCCCACCTGTCAGTTCCGGAGGAGCCCTCGTACTTTATAAACCATCATTCATCAAGGTGAGTTTCTAACTCACCCCAGTTTCCCTTGCTTACCTTGTCAATAAAAAATAAGGAAGGAGGTGTGGCCAATATGCTGCTGTCAAAACATGCTCTAGTTTTGGGCCACGCTCACTGCCCTGGGGTTCAGTGGGCTGAACTGGAGGAATCTGGGCCAGAAGATAAACCTGGCATGTTCTCCTGGCACTTCAGTTTTACGTGCTTGTAAGTTATCGAAGATACTATGGGGATATTAAGACAAAGAGATAAATTTCATGGAGTGCCATGCCAAATTTGCAAGATTTTTTTTTTTATTTTATTTTTTTTTTTTTTATTTTTTTTTTCAAACGTTTTTTATTTATTTTTGGGACAGAGAGAGACAGAGCATGAACGGGGGAGGGGCAGAGAGAGAGGGAGACACAGAATCGGAAACAGGCTCCAGGCTCTGAGCCATCAGCCCAGAGCCCGACGCGGGGCTCGAACTCACGGACCGCGAGATCGTGACCTGGCTGAAGTCGGACGCTTAACCGACTGCGCCACCCAGGCGCCCCCAAATTTGCAAGATTTTTATGATAAAACATGTATCTAACAAGAAAAGTCCTGCTCTCCGCCTCTAGACCCTGTGGTGGTGCGGTGGGGGGGGGGGGGGGGGGGGGGGGGGGGGGGGGCGGTGCTCATGTTCCTCTGTCAGCAGCCCTTCCGTGAAGAGAGAAACACTCGTTTTGGTTCTTCAGTTAAAGCCCCTACAACACAGCGACTCAGCTGAACGGGATGAAGACTTATTTAAATATTTAGTCATCTGAAATAATGTCCCTAAGAAGTGATCATGACATTTCTCTTTTAAAAACTCTTGTACTATTTCCACCGACAGTCCTTACCTCTCCTCACCTTAAATGAGCTATTTTGGCAGATTTGGGAGGAAGTATCCTGCACAGAAGTATGTGATCTGCCTGAGCCCTGACTAGTATCCAGGCTGAACAGCAGGAATTCTACGTGCTGATCATTCCTCTGCAAATATGCCAGATTACTGGAGCTAGAGGAAAAGCACAAACTGATGAGGAAGAACAACACTGCACAAACAAGTTCCCGTGGTTGGTTCTAGAAACAGAAAGAGGCGTTACCACTGCCACATGAAGCAGAGCTGCTGATAATACAGCAGAAAAGAATGAGCCCTTGCAAAATAAACCTTGAAAAACCAGCATTAACAGCAGCCTCTCTGGAGTACTTACTACGAGCCGGGTGCTCCATATGCGTTACCGTGACCCTTACAACAATTCCATTTATCCCATTTTACAGATGAGGAAACCGAGGCTCTGACTGTAGAGCTCATGGCCCGCCATGAAACTCTGGCCGCTCCCCTCCATTCCCTTCAGGACCGAGATGCCCTGCCTGGCAGGCCAGGCTCCATCATGTGGAAAAAAGATCCATCTTCTTACCTTCAGAGCCCACTCACAATCCACTACTGCTTTCTGGAAGTCCCCGAGTTTTATATAAGCCTGTAATGACACAAACAGCTGCTGTTGGTACATAATTCTTCAGCAAGCAGTCTTCAGTTGACACAGAAAGAGCAATCCAACAACAGAAGGGTGATGACAGGGAACCAGTCCCTCCCCATGTCAGCCAGGGCTCCAGCAGAAAACGGAGGGCACACACACATGAGGTGACTTTAACAGAAGGACTACTTACAAGCTGAGGGCAAGGCTCAGGGAAACCAACAGGAACGTTACGGAACCCCAAGTCTAGCAACAATGGACAGCCGTTACCGCTGCTAGGGTGAGGGGGCAGAAGGATGAGCCATGGACAGATGGGAGAGGACAGCTTTGTGGACGGCACTGCCTGGTGGGAGCTGAGGCCTTTAGTAGGGCTACAGGTGGGAGAATAAATACCCCACTCTCATTTCCTCCTTCTTTCTGATCTCACTGGCTGAACCCATGCAAGCTAGAAAGCTGGGAAGTCAGGGGGCCAGTCCACAGAGGTCAGTCCCCCCAGGGCACAGAAGGCAGGGAGGAAGAGGATCTGGAAAGGCAAAAGAAAGTACGTAGCACACTAAACACATCTACAAAGTAAGAGCTGACTTCTAGAGTCTACCCTACTGTGGATGCTCCAGAAGGAAACCAAATGGTAGAGCGAATCAAAGAGGTAATAATAAGTGTTGGTGAGAATGCAGAAAAATCAGAACCCTCACACACTGCTGGTGGGAATGTAAAGTGGGGTAGCCACTTTGGTAGACAGTCTGGCAGTTAGTTCTTCAAAGGGTTAAACACAGAATTACCATATGATCCAGCCACTCCTGGGTGTATGTATACCCAAAGGGACTGTAAACACAGGCACATAAAAACTTGTGCACAGATGTTCACAGCAGCATTGTTGATAATACCCAAAAAGCAGAAACAACTCAAATGTCCATCAACTGATGAATGGATAACTAAAACGTGGTCCATCCATACAGTGGAATATTATTTGGCAATAAAAAGGAATGAAGCATCAGTACATATTACAACATGGATGAGCTTTGAAAACATGTTACAGGAGAGAAGCCAGACACAAAAGGAAAAAATATGCATGACTCTATTTGAATGAAATGTACAGAGGAGGCAGATGTATGGAGACAGAAAGTCGATTTGTGGTTGCCTAGGGCTGTGGGTAGAGGTGCACGGGAGGGCTGGGGCTGGGGGCAGGGGTGCATGGGAGCAGTGAGGGTGCAGGGGAGCACTGGGCTGGGGGCAGGGGTGCATGGGAGCAGTGAGGGTGCAGGGGAGCACTGGGGCGGGGGTAAGGGTGCATGGGAGCACTGAGGCAGGGACAGGGGTGCACGGGAGCATGGAGGGCTACTTAAAGGGCATGGGGTTTCTTTTTGCGATCATGACAATGTTCTAAGATTGCTTACAGTGATGGTTGCACAACTCTGTGAATACACTAAAAACCACTGATTCATATACTTTAAATGGGTGAATTGCCTGTTATGCCAATTATATCTCAATAAAGCTGGTACTAAAAAAAAGACGAAGAAAAATTTCTCTTTCTTTCCTCATAAGCACAGCAAGAAGGAAGGGATCTAGAAAATGGGCTGACATTAAGAGTCAGACAATCACTACAATCCACCAGTGCAAATGCCCTGGGAGCCTCTTCTGGGATTCCCTCCTACCCCTCCCCCCCACCCCAGACTCAGAATTAGGGACAATCTTGAAAATCAAGAATTGACTCAGAATCCTGGGATCCACTCAATCGAAACTGAATTCAGTTCATTTATAGTTTCAGAGAAATAGTGACATATAAACTAACAAAGCGCTGCTCAACAGCAAGTGTGATGGCTACCATACCTTCTGAATTAATTACTGGACACAATAGGTACTCAATAAATTCTTATTAAGTTGAACTAAACAGACTTTAAGCACTCTTCTCTTGGAAAGCTCCCAGGAAGCAGCAATGATCACTCTGGTGTGAAAAAGGAAAACCAGGCACTTGGAGAATAAGGGGTTTCCCCAGGGTCCCATCAGTCACCCAAGCTAGAGCCCATACATGTATAGTTCTGCCCCTGATCAAAACTGTACTGGGCACTGTGACATTGTTATTGATAACTCTGAGCAGATATTTACATGGTCAAGCCAATTATGGGGCCAGTGTTATAATTCATCCCAAGCAAGGAGGGAGCAGGCAAGAGCTGGCTAATGAAGTTCAGCAGTGCAGCGATTTGCTCCCATAGAAAGGAAGCTGCTGAGCAGTGCTTTCATTAACTCAGGCTCTGGACTAATTGAAGATGATGACTCTTTGAACTGTCTGTTCCACAGAGCACCATCCTTTCCCCCAGGGTTTGGGGTTTCATTTGAAAGTCAGATGATGTGAGGAGGAAACTAGCATCCTTTTAGACAAAGGTAGTCACAAATCCGTGACATTGTTAGTCAGGAGACATACAGACTCTGAAAATGCATACACCGGCTTCAACAATTTCTCTACACAGCCTTTTCCTTTTCCTTTTCTTTCTTTCTTTTTTTTTTAAGGCTTGGATTCAACACCCTATAAATTCCCTCTTCTCTTTTGCTTTTCCACTTCTTAAAAAGAACTACTTTCCCAAATGGCAATTAAACTCCTGATTGATCTAAATTATGCCAGCAACCTATTGATCATAACATTAGCTCCAGGAGAAACACAGAGCAATCAAAGGGTACGTTTTCTCTCTAGCAAACCTCAACATTCAATTCACAGGGTCTTATTAAGTGTTTCTAACACTGCATGCAAACGGGAGGCATTTTAAAAATAGCCAATCATGATTTGGTGATTCTTTTTTTTTTTCACAGTTCTTATTTTACTTTTTAATTTACATCCAAGTTAGTTAGCACATGGTGCAACAATGATTTCAGGAGTAGATTCCTTAATGTCCCTTACCAATTTAGCCCAACCCCCGCCCACAGCCCCTCCAGTAACCCTCTGCTTGTTCTCCATAGTTAAGAGTCTCTTATGTTTTGGCCCCCTCCCTGTTTTTATATTATTTTTGCTTCCCTTCCTTTAGGTTCACCTGTTCTGTGTCTAAAAGTCCTCATATGAGTGAAGTCATATGATATTTGTCTTTCTCTGGCCAATTTCGCTTAGCATAATACCCTCTGGTTCCATCCACGTAGTTGCAAATGGCAAGATTTCATTCTTTTTGATTGCTGAGTAATACTCCACTGTATATGACATCTTTTTTCTCCATTCATCCATTGATGGACATTTGGGCTCTTTCCATACTTTGTCTATGTTGATAGTGCTGCTATAAACATTGGGGTGCACGTGCCCCTTCAAAACAGCATATCTTTTCCCTTGGATAAATATCTAGTAGTGCAATTGCTGGGTCATAGGGTAGTTCTATTTTCAATTTTTTGAGGAACCTCCATACTGTTTTCCAGAGTGGCTGCACCAGTTTGCATTCCCACCAGCAGTGCCAAAGAAATCCTCTTTCTCTGCATCCTCGCCAACATCTGTTGTTGCCTGAATTGTTAATGTTAGCCATTCTGACAGGTGTAAGGTGGTATCTCAGTGTGGTTTTGATTTGTATTTCCCTGATGATGAGTGACATTGAGCATGTTTTCATGTGTCACTTGGCCATCTGGATGGCTTCCTTGGAGAAGTGTCTAT